ACTGACAGCTCTTCGTTGCATTCTTCAGGCAGTTAACACATAGCCCCACTACCAGTGCCAGCTCTTTCTAAGCTCTGGCTGGAGTTAACTCCTTGGCTTCTGATACCAAGGAGTTAATTTTATTTGGTGAAAACTAAGATTTGGAGCAGAGAGATGTAAATCTAACACGATCTTAGTCCACAGCCCTCACTTGTCTCATGGGTTATTTAGAAGTGTGTTGTTTGGTTTCCAAATATTTGAAGACTTTTCCAGATTTCTTTTTGTTATTGACTTCTAATTTAATTCCACTGTGGTCAGAGAACATACTTTGTATGAGTTCCATATTTTAAAATTTATTGAGACTTATTTTATGACTCAGGATATGGTCTATCTTGGTAAATGTTCCATGTACACTAGAAATCAATGGGCACTCTGATGCTGATTACAGAGTATTCTATAAATCTCAATTAGGTAAAGTTGGTTGATATGCTGTTCAAGTCTTTAATATCCTTACTGAGTTTTTCTACTTGTTCTATCAGTTATCAAGAGGGAGTATTGAGATTTCCCACTATAATTGTGGATTTGGCTATTTCTCCTTTGAGTTTTATTAGTTTTTGCTTTGTGCATTTTGAAACTTTGTTATTAGGTGCATAACTAGGATTATTATGTCCTCTTGATGAATTAACCACTTTATCACTATGCAATGATGATCCTCCTTATCATTAGTAATATTCCTTGCTCTGAAATTTACTTTGTCTAATATTGATATAGAAACTCTGTCTTTAGATTAGTATTTGCAAATATCTATCTTCCATCCTTTTACTTTTAACATATTTATGTCTTTATATTTAAAGTGGGTTTCCACTAGACAACATATACTGAGGGCTTCTTTTTTAAAAACCTAACTTGGTAACTTCCACCTTATTTACTTAGTGTTTTAGACCAATTACATTTAATGTGTTTATTTATATGATTGGGCTTAAATCTACTACCTGGCTATTTGTTTTCTATTTGTACCTTCTATCATTTTTTTATTTCCTATTCTTTCCTCTCTTTTCTTGGATTATTTGATCATTTTAAATATACATTTTATCTCTTTAAGTTGTTTGCTAGATACAACTCTCTTGTTTTTCTAATGGTGGCTCTAGAGTTTCTAGTATATATCTTTAGCTTATCACAGTTTACCTTATACATTATATAACTGTGTATACTGTATAAAAATCTTGCAACCACATACTTCCATCTCCCCCTTCTTGCCCTTTGTGCTTTCGTCACACATTTAAATTCTACTTTATAAATTCCACAATGCATTGTTATTGGTTTTGTTTTAAACAATCTTTTAAATAGATTTGAGAAAAATAAGAAAAAGTGTTTTATATTTGCCCACATATTTACTATTTTTGGTACTTGCTTTGGTATGTCTGAAAAGTCTATTTCACTTCATTTTTGAAAAATGTTTTTTGCTAGATGAACATTTTTTTCCTTCAATTTTTAAAGAGGTTATTCCACTGACTTTTGGCTTACATTGTTTCTGAGGAAAAGTCTGCTGTCATTGTTTTTATTCCTTTGGATGTATTATCCACCACTGCCTTTGCAGCCTCCCCCTCACCCCTTCTCCACACCCCCAGCTGGTTTTAAGATTTTTCTCTTCACCACTGGTTTTCAGCAATTTGATTATGATGTGTCTTGGTGTAATTTTTTCTTATTTTTCTTTTGCTTCAGAGTCATTGAGCATTTTGGATCTGTAGGTTTATAATTTTTATCAAGTTTGGGAAAACCTCAGACATTATTCTCTTAAATATCTTTTCTTATATCCCCACCTCTTTACTGTTCTTCTGTGGTTCTAGTAACTTATTTTAGGGTGCTTGATGTTTTATTGATGCACTGTTCATTTTTTTCCTCCTTATGTTTCATTTTGGATAAGTTCTATTGCTCTGTCTTCAAGTTTACTTATCCTTTCTTCTACCCTACCTAGTCTGCTGTTAATCCCATATAGACACTGAGACTTTTTAAATTTCTCCAAGTTCTTTTTGAGTCTTAAATTTCTTCCATTTCTCTTCTCATCGTGTTTACACTGTATTCTATCTTCTTGAGCATCTGGAGTAAATTTCTTACAGCAATTTTAATAACCTTGTCTAGTAATTCTATCACCTGAGTTATTTCTGGGTCTCTTTCTATTGACTTTTCTCATCATTGTTCATATTTTCCTGCTTCTTCATATGCCTGGAAGTTTTTGTTTTGATGCCATACATTGTCAGTTTTCCATTGTTGAGTGCTGGAATTCTTTATTCCTAAATGTTTTCATATTCTGTTCTGGGATGCAGCTAAGTTACTTGGAAACAGTATGATTCTTCTGAAGTTTTTTGAAACCGTTATTAGGTGGATGCATAACAGCCTTTCATCTAGGACTATTTTGTCCCCACTACTAAGGAAATACTCTTCTGATCAGTCTACTTGATGCCTCACGTGTAAGGTCTTCCACTATCGCTAATCTAGCTTGAAGTGAGCTTTGGGGACTTTTCTGCCTGCTTCATTCCAGTGGTTCTTTCCTCATTTTTGATAGTTTCCTCACGGGCATATGCTAATCAGTACTCAGATAAAGAATCAAAGGAGACCCACTTCACTTCTCTGTAGCTCTCTGTCCAGCTCTCTTCTCCATGGTAATCTTCCCTGTGAATTCTAATCGCCTGACTCTTCAAACTCTGATGTCTGTCTGCTAAACTCAGGGAGACCACTCAGTTCCTTTGGGGCTTCCCCTCCCTATGCTGTGGCCTGGAAACTCAACCAAGGCATAAGATAGGGCATTGTACGCATCACTTTATCGCTCTCCCCTCTTTCAGGGATAACTGTGTTGCACTATTTTCCCATATCTAAAAATTGTTGTTTCATAATTTTCGTTTGTGTGTTGTTGTTGTTGTTTAGCCAGAGGGTAGATCTGGTCCTGTTACTCCACCATGGCGGGAGGTGGAAGTCCTCTACATCCCTCTCGTGAAATATGAAAAGTGAACTATACAAATTGCAATGGAATGCTATGTGTTTAGAAGTTTAATATGAAAAGGAACCACTGAGACCTAACTGCATGGCTAAATCCCTTTTTCTCCTACTTAGGCAAAAGATACTACAACCAAAAGAAAATAACTTAAAATCCTAGAATTTCAAAGGAGCAAAAGATGTTTTAATCATCCAGTTCATCTCTTTCCTTTTGCATATGAGGAAATAAAATCTCAGAGGTGTTAAGGAATTGCCATATTAGTATTGGTCAGAGCTGGGATCAGAACCCAAGTTTCCCAACAGACAAACCACCAAACCATGTTATTTCCATTCTGCCCATAAATAATACTGACCATTTATCAAGTACTATTAAGTACAATGTGTCCATATTTTGTAAGCATTATCCTAAACTTCCTGACAACCCTAGTACTATCAGGGTAGGTACTACCATTGTCACCATTTTACAGACAAATTACCTGAAGATCAGGGGGTTTAAATGATTTGTCTAACACAGCTGCTTTCAAAGTATGGTCCCTGAAACTCTTCTGTGGGGTCTGCTGGGTTAAACTATCTTTATAATAATACTAAGATGTTATTTGCCTTTTCTACCATGTTGACACTTGTACTAAAGGTGTAAAAGCAAAGGTGGGTAAAACCACTTGCACCTTGGCATGAACCAAAGCAGTGGCACCAAACTACATTCAAAACTCTTGTATTTTTCACCATCATGAACTTGCAGGGCTTTTAAAAAGCCAGTTGGAACTTTACAGTGTTCTAAATGAAATAGTATGTTATTAATTGTATTAATTATGGACACCTATGTAGCTGTCATTTTATTATTCTGTAGGACAAAATGGGAAATACACTGAAAGCACTTCTGCAAAGAAAAGCATTTCCTTGAGTGTTTGAGTTTCAGGATGAACTTGACACTTTTTTCTTGGAACATCATTTTTATTTGAAATAATGACTGACAAACTATGGTTTGTCGTATGCAGTTATATACTAAACACTTTCCCAAAAATGAGGAAAGTGAATCTATCACCTCAAACAAAACAACTGACAATATTTGTCATCAATGATAAGATGAGCTTTTGGGGGAAAAATGGAATTTTGTAAAACTTATATTTTTCACTGTGAGCTTGACAGCTTCCCAATACTTCAAGACTTTCCTGATGAGATTGGTGAAGACACTAACAAAATGATTTCGTGGTGTTATACAATAAAATGCACCGACATTTGGAATATCTGCTTAACTCAGTGAATAAATATTTTCAAGATGAGCAATGCCTGATACCCCAAAATCATGCATTTGTAAAAAAATTCATTCAAAGTACAAAATCAACCAATGCATTTTAATGTAATAGCATTTGAAAAATGTTCACTGATAATGCTTTCAGACTCCACACTGCAAATAACTTTTAAGAAACTGCCATCTGCCTTTGTAGGATCAAAAAAATCCCAAAATTACCTGAAAAAGCTATTAAAATACTTCCTTGTATTCCAACTGTATATCTGTGTGAGACTGAATTTTTTTCATATACATCAACCAAAATGACATATTGCACCAGAGTGGATGAAGAAACTGATGTGAGAATCCAGCTGTGTTCTGTTAAGCCAGGGAATAAAGAGATTTGCAAAAGTGTAAAACAATGTTACTCTTCTCAGTACATTTTTTTTTTAAATAGCTTTTTACATAACAATGTGTTATTTTTTGTTAACAGGTAATGGGTTTTATTATTATTACTCCTAAAAGACTTAGTAAATAATTACTTACATTTTCTCCTATTTAATTTTGAATAGTCAATATCAACAGATATAACCCACATAAACAAACGCTCCTCAGGGTCCTTTAAAAGTGAAGGGTCCTGAGATCAACACGTTTAGGAAAGTGCTGGTCTTAGATAACACATCTGAGAAGTGGTGAAGCCGGGTCTATGTTCATCTGGCTCCCAAACCCATTTTTTTTCCAGGATACAATGTTGTCTGCCTCCTTACCCAAAGTCTCATCAGTATTAAAATGAAAAACAGAATTGGATTCCTAAAAGCTTTATTTTGCAATGTTTTCCATAATACTTAAGTTTTTCAATGTTTAGATGTTTTTCTTCTTTGAAGGATGAATTTCTTTTTATGGCTTGTTTTATATCTAGAAATGTTTTTTCTATAATGTTTAAGTTTTTATGTGTGTGTGTATGTGTGTGTGTATATATATATATTTTTTTGTTTTGTTTTGTTTTTTTGAGTCGTAGTCTCGCTCTGTTGTCCAGGCTGGAGTGCTGTGGCGCTACCTTGGCTCACTGCAACCTCCACCTCCTGGGTTCAAGCAATTCTCCTGCCTCAGCCTTCCAAGTAGCTGGGACTACAGGCACATGCTACCAAGCCCGGCTAATTTTTTGTATTTTTAGTAGAAATGGAGTTTCACTGTGTTAGCCAGGATGGTCTCATCTCTTCACCCCATGATCTGCCTGCCTCGGCCTCCCAAAGTGCTGGGATTATGGAAGTGAGCCACCGTGCCCAGCAATGTTTAGATATTTTTGAGGAAGCAAAAGTTTCTTGTCCTAAAGCTTTAGAACTCCATTAGGTATTGAAGATGACTCTTTTTGGGCTATAAAATAGAATGTAGTAAACATACTAGTTTTATATTGCATACAAAGTCCAAATAGTTGACAGAAGTCCTCTATTAGATTTCACAAAACAGAAAAAATTCTAAGCCAGGCACGATGGCTCATGCCTGCAATCCTAGTGCAAGAGACTGAGGTGGGAGAATCACTTGAGGCCAGGAGTTTGAGACCAGCCTGGGCAACAGAGCAAGACGCCATCTCCACAAAAAATTAAAAAATTACTTAGGTGTGGGCCGGGCACGGTGGCTCACGCCTGTAATCCCAGCACTTTGAGAGGCCGAGGCAGGTGGATCACGAGGTCGAAAGTTCAAGACCAGCCTGGCCAAGATGGTAAAACCCCGTCTCTACTAAAAATACAAAAATTAGCCAGGTGTGGTGGCGCACGCCTGTAATCCCAGTTACTTGGGAGGCTGAGGCAGAGAACTGCTTGAACCTGGGAGGCGGAGGTTGCAGTGAGCCGAGATCATGCCACTGCACTCCAGCCTGTGTGACAGAGCAAGACTCTGTCTCAGGAAAAAAAAAAAAAAAAATTACCAGGCTGGTGGCCTGTACCTGTAGCCCCAGCTGCTCTGGAGGCTGAGGCTGGAGGATTGCTTGAGCCCAGGAGTTCAAGGCTGCAGTGAGCTGTGATGGTGCCACTGCACTCCAGCCTGGGCAACAGAGGTAGACCCTGTCTCTTAAGAACAAAAAAAGTAATTCTAATTCTCTGGCTCTGGGCTTATTTTTCATCCATTGAGACTAAACCCCAGGAGTTACAGTGATGTCCCAGGGGGGCCAGCCTTGCTGGGGGATGCCCTCAGGAGGAACTCTTGCATGCCCTTCCTCAGCCGTGCATTCTCCGCAACCTCCCTCAGGCTTCTGTGCAGCTTCTCCATCTCCTTGTATTCACTCCCGACATCTACAGGAGAGCAGAAAGCTCACATCAGGACTTGGCGTCTGTTGCAGAAACATCTCCAAAAAGCAAATCCCCCAACAATCCTGTCACTTGTCCCAGAATATGGATCTGGTGTAGTGCTTACAGATCAGACACCAAAGCAGGTATTCCTCCTCTTACCAAAATGCTGTCTCAGCATGGGGTCACCCTCAAAAGAAATACAAACCTACCCATAAGAAAAACCCTGAGAAGTCACTGAGTCTGTATTAAGGCCTCACAGGCGTGTGATATACAAAGCACATTGCACAATAACACCTCCCCTAACTCCTCTCCAGGCAGCTCCCCCTCTTCCCCCACCCCAATCCCTATCCTCCCAGCACAACCCATTCTCAGTGAATGTTCTCTCTCTGGCATCTCAGGTTTTCACCCCATGATCTTCAATCAGCTCATGTTCTCACAATGGTTAGTTTTATGTGTCAACTTGCCCAGGTCACAGGGCCCAGATACCAGGTTAAATGTGAGTCTGGATGCCTCTGGGAGGGTGTTTTTGGATGAGATTTACATTTAACTCAGTAGACCTCAAGTAAAGCAGATGGCCCTCCCCAGTGTGGGTGGACCTCAAACAGCCAGCTGAAGGCATGCATGGAGCCAAAGGCCAGCCTCCCCCAAGCAGGAAGGGATGATCCAGTGACAGCCTTGGGCCTTTGAGATGGAGTTTTGCTCTTGTCACCAAGCCTGCAGTGCAATGGCATGATCTTGAATCACTGCAACCTCTGCCTCCCAGGCTCAAGTGCTTCTCCTGCCTCAGACTCCCAACTAGCTGGGATTACACGCACCCACCAGCTCGCCTAGCTAATTTTTTTTTTTTTATATTTTTAGTAGAGACAGGGTTTCACCATGTTGGCCAGGCTGGTCTTGAACTCCTAACCTCAGGTGACCCACCCGCCTCAGCCTCCCAAAGTGTCGGGATTACAGGCGTGAGCCACTGCACCTGGCCAAGCCTTGGTTGGGCCTTTGTCTGCAACATCGGCTCCGCCTGGTTCTGCAGGGATGGCCTCTGGACTCGAACTGCCTCTCTTTCTGGAGTCTCCGTCCTGTGGGCCTCCCTGTATCAGATTTTGGGCTCACCAAGCCTCCACCATTGTGTAAGCCAACTTCTTAAAATAAATCTCTTCCTTCATCTATCCACGCATCCTACTGGTTCTGTTTATCTGGAGGACGCTGACTAATGCAGTCCCCTTTGAAGGGACACTTCAGACTGAGCCCTGAATGCCCTTCTAATCCCCCCTGGCTTTCTGTACCCCAGAGGGTGACTCAGGCTGACTGGCCCTGAGCCTGGCCAGGGATGGGCCTCATGAGCAGAGGGGAGTTAGGACCTGGAGTCTTTTTGTTCTGTCCCATATCTGGAAGGCCTCCCTTCTCCCTGCTGCCTCTGAAATCAACCTAACCTTTGAGGTTTCCCCCAGGACCCAGCTTCACTGAAGTTTCCCCGTGTCCCCGGCCTGAATAACCACTCTGGCTCTGAACTTCAAGAATAACGATCTGAAGTCTGACTGGGTTCCCTCCCTCAGGGCTTTGCTTAAGTGTCACATTCCCAGGGAGACCTTCCTTTACCACCCTGTCCCCTACCCCAGCATCCCTTCTTCCGTTTCTCTGTTTCGCCTCCCTGCCACATATCTCACTTATTAGTTTGCTTACTGCCTGCCTTCCACCACTGGGCTGTGAGCTCCATGAGGGTGGGGACTCTTGCCTGTCTTGGTCACCACTGTGTCCTCAGTACCCAGAACACTGCCTGGCACCCAGGAGGCGATCAGAATTGTTTGCTGAGCGAATGCAAACTCCCCAGTCCAATGATCACATTCTTACACATCTTGTCTTACCAACCAGGTAAGGCCCCGACAACAGGGACTGCCTTTTAGATTTCTTTATAAAGCAGGCCCCCCACCCTCAACATGATGTATATTTGTTGTCGATGGTGAAGAGAAGGAAATAGGCTTAAATTATAGCAGGTGCAATTGACATCAAACTGAAGGGAGCACCTGGTCAAGGTCTCTGTGAGACCTGGTCAAGATCTCTGGCAAGCGGGAGTTCTTTAAAGAAGGCACATTGGAATGACTAGCATCTTAAAACTTAGACTCCTATAGAGGCCTGGACAGAAGGTCGTGAGAGTCCACTACATTATAGTGTGAGGGTGTTGTATCTCCTTCCCTGGAGTCCGTTAGGATCAGGTTACAGGTCCATCTAACCAGCCATAAATGGAGATGGAGAAGTGCAGAACAGATCTTTAGAAGCAGCCATTGTGGCTTTGATTTTGGGAACAGCTCTGTCTACTTTCACCCTGGCAAACTCAGTGGTATCAGATCTATTCATTTCAGCAGGCAACTATGGATGTGGTATAAAATATAAAAGGCACAATATATACAGGGTGCAGAGCAAGGCTCCCACCCTCTCCTACCCGCCAGCCTTCCGGTTCCCCTCTTTAGAGGCAACGAGTACTGTCAGTGTTCTCTGTAGCCCATGGAGATTTTTATGCACATACAAACATATACATATGTATTTCCTTTTTTCCCCACTCACAAATGGCAACATATCGTGTACATTTACTCACTTTGCTATTTTCCACTTTGTAATATCTTTGGAGATCATTTCATACCACTACCTACAGAGCTGCTTTATTTTTTCTAACAGTTGCACAGTCCTCCATTCGTTGTGTATTTAATTTAATTTAAGCAGTGCTTTACTTACAGATATTTGAGTTGTCCCCATTTTTGACATTAGAATGTTACCCCGAATAACCTTGTCTATATGCCACTCTACCCCCATATAAGGATATCTGTAGGGTTGCTGCGCCAAATGATACGTGCATTTTAAATTTGGCTAGAAATTACTTACTTGCTTTTTCTGCCAGTTTACCCCTTCCAGTTTATACCGGGGGCCTGATGGAGCCCATGGCCAGAAAGCGACACGGTTGCCTACACCAAGGTCCACAGCTGGGGCCGCATCCCCAGGCTGCAGGTGGATTGAGAGAAGTCTTTCTCCACCATCACCAGACCATGAAGTTCTTCATAAGGAAGCATCAACTTAAAAGAAAGGCCTTATGGAGACGGCAGGGCACAGCTGTGGATTTAAATTCGCCGCTTTCCAGCTATGGGACCCTGGGCGCATTTCCTAATGTGAGTCTCTATTTCTGCCTCTGCAAAATGGAGCAACAACATCCATCCCTGGGAGCTAATGTGAGAATTCAGTGAAACCATGAGCACAAAGCGTGAGTATAATGCCTGCTCTCAGTTGGGTGCTGGGCAAAGGGTGGGGCTGTCGTTATCATTATCATCATCATCATATCATCATCATCATCATCTCCATCATCATCATCATCTCCATTCCTTGCCCTGCTAATTCTTCCTAACTTAATATCTTTAAATTCAGGAAGAAGCAACCACAGCCAGGGCTGTCTGCACAATCACCCTGTATGCAAAGCTTTGGCGTATTTACCTGCAAGCTCCTTGTAGAGGCCATCCCCCTGGGACGAAGCAAGGGTTAGCATGGTGGTGATGCTGCCCTTCACCTTCTCCACGATCCCAGTCTAAGTGACAAGGACATTCAGTATGTTAGGACGGTGCAGCCCAAGGAAAAGTGAAACTTATAAAAGGGACCCCACCCAGTCCCCCAGCCACAGAAGGTACAGACTGGGGCTGTCAAAGTAAGGCTTTGCAACCCAGTTGCAAAATGGTGAAACACTTTCGAGGACATTAAATGGCCCAGGAGGCAGCAAGACAATATTTCTGTGGGCTCCCATCTGTATAGCATCTCCCTCCCCACCTACAGACTCATGGGGGGCTGAAGCTCTGGTGCCAGCGGATCAAATCAGGAGCTAATGGGGAAGGAAGCATGAAGGCATGGGGGAGAGAACGGCAATCGCAGAGATGGGAAAAGAGGGGAAGAGCTGGTCGCTCTCCCGCTGTCCTCTCCTCCATGCATCTGCTCACTGGGGAGATGTTTGCTGGACACTTGCTCTGTGTCACTCACCTTACCGTACATGTCTGATTCTTCCCAACTGCCTGAGAACTGTCTTCTTGCTACTCTTAGTCCTCTTATCAACTAAAACTCCTTTCTTCCCTCTTCTGTTTCTTGTCTTCCTTTGAAAAAATATCAGGCTCCTTCCTCTAGCCTGGCAGAGCCTAGTTTTGATGTTGGATCTCCTATGCTTTTTCTTTAACATTCTAGATTCTAGATCAAGAGCCCCAAGTGTACATCTCAGCTCTAGGCATGGGCCTGGAACCTGTAACTCAAGGCCTCTAGGTTCCCACTTCCTTTAAGATCAGGGAATGAGGGATTCACAGCTCCTAAACCAGGAGAAGCAGTCACCTCACACTAGAGTGAAAACGAAGCAGCAAGCCACATTACTGATCAATATATCAGAGACTAATCTGGATATTCAACAAAATACTATTCCATTGTTTAATTTACAGGACTATTGCAAAGAGGTAATTTAAAAAAACAGTAAATCTTCAAACATTATGTATAAAAAGAAATTTCATCCACTATATAGAACTAACATATTTTAAACAATTAAAAGTTAACTGGCATTCTGAAAAAAAAAAAAATCACAGAATGGCAACACTCTATGGTCCTGCCCAGTTTTAACTTCCTATGTTTCTGTAATTTCAGGTACATTTGTACATGGTCAATATACACGTTTTTTAAGCGACATTGTTTCCTGGGTGTCTTAAGATCCAGTGTCTATGTACGCAATGGGGAAATGGGAACCGGCTTTGTGGAGTTCGGCCAAGTTCTTGTCCATGAATTTGTAGACTGTGATAACATGTTAAAGGATTGAAACTAAACTGCTGCTGGTGAACAAGATGCCTCTTAGCCTACTCCAGGGGAAATTACATGTGTTGAATTGTAAAGAATATTTTCCAAAACTGCAGAAGTGATGGAGGAGAGGAGATTGGGCAGAAACAGGTTGGAGATGTTTCAAGAAGGCTGGTTCTGAGGTGGACCAAGATAGAAATGGGCCAGCTTCCTTGAGGGCTTGGGAGACAGGATCAGCCAGCCTGGGTTGAGGCAGAAAACCTGGAGCCTCACATGGCCAGGGAGGAAGCCCACAGTGGCATGGACTTCAAGGATCTCTACTACTTGGGGGACAGGGGGTGGCAAGACATGAGGCCCAGAGCAGAGGCAAGATGGTCCAGGTAGGCTTGGCAGAAGCATTTAGGTCCAAGAAAACCATCAGGAACTGTCTTTGGGGGTAGATAAAATTAAAGCTGAATGTGTGCTAGGTACCATAACTGACTGGCCTTGAGTAGTGTGTCAATATTTACTTATTGACATTTTATGTAGACAAGACATTTCCCTATTTAAACAATCTGTTTTGAGATCATGCTATTGTTGGACATGCTGGAGCCAGGCTTCCTTATCCCAAATCCAACTGTGCATCTCCCTGGCTGTGTGGCTGGTTGATACAACTCTCGATGCTGGAATTTTCTTCTCTATAAAATGGGAACAATGATAGTACCTACCTCACAGACTTGCTGGGGAGTAAATGAGCTAATGTCTATAAATAGCTGAGCACATATCTAGCTATTACAGTGGCTGTGCTACTGGTGACTCAGGAAAGAGGAGGGGCGCAAGAGAGTGCTGGAAGAGCTGCAGCTCTCAGGTCGAAGCCCCAGAAACCATCTGTTCCATTTGGGCCCAAATGCCTACTACGCCTTCCACCTTCTGCGCCCACTTCCTGTCCTCTCCCAGGGCCTCTCGGGGTCTAGGATCTAGGCTGTGGGCATAGAGTACCTTCAGCTGCTGAAACTGGTGCTGCATCCTTTCCTGGGCCCTTTCAAACATGCCCTCAGCCACCTGCCGGTCCACTCCTCTTCTGATGGCATCTTTCATCCGCTCACACGCTTTTTTGCCCGTGATCTGAGCTGCCTCTGGCAAAAATGATAGCCACAGTCACACCACGACAAGGACCTGCTTAGAAATCTTTGGCATCATGGCTGGGCATGGTGGCTCACACCAGTAATCCCAGCACTGTGGGAGGCTGAGGTGGGCAGATCACCTGAGGTCAGGAGTTCAAGACCAGCCTGCCCAACATGGTGAAACACCCGTCTCTACTAAAAATACAAAAATTAGCTGGGTGCTGTGTGCACATCTGCAATCCCACCTACTTGGGAGGCTGAGGCACAAGAATTGCTTCAACCCAGTAGGCAGAGGTTGGAGTGAGTTGAGATCATTGCCACTGCACTCCAGCCTGGGCAACAGAGCGAGATTCCATCTCAAAAAAAAAAAAAAAAGAAACAGAAAGAAAGAAATCTTTGGCATTAGAAAGAAAAGCAAGCCAAGCAAACAAACAAACAACAAAAAAGTATATATATATAAGTATGTATATATATGCACTTATATAAAAATGACACTTTCAATATTTAGATAATAACCAGCATTCAGAAAACCTAATGACTGAATTCAGCTGAAACTTGCAAAATCACTCCCTACCCCCAAACAATGGAGTCACCAAAACAGGAAAGAGTCTGAAAGTGAGTTCACAAGTGAGTGAGTTCAAGTATTTGTGAATACTTGCAAACAAGAATGAGAACCTGGACACTGGATTCTACAGCTAAATCAGCTGGGATGTTGTATGGAAAAAAGCAGGGTGTCTGGACCAAGGGTGGACAGAAAGAGCTGGAAAACACACAGAGAAGGGTCCTCACGCCCTGCAGTCATGTGGTTGCAATGTGTGGACTGAGAGAGCTGCAAAGACTTAGGGTGCAAGAGAACAGGGCCTTTGAGGGAGCCGCAGAAAAGGATGTGAAAGGTGCTGACAGGAAGTCCCAGTGCAGGCGGCAATGCTGTCCCTCGCGGCCCCCACCTTCGTAACACAGCTTCAGGTCGCTCTGGACAGAGGCGGTGAGGGACTCATAGACCCTCCTCTTCCTTCTGAGGATGTGGTCTTCCAGGCCCCCGAGGATGGCGCTTATCTGGGAAGACATGGCAAAAGAGGCCATTGGTGACAATTCCTTCAATGAAAGCAGGTCAGGTATCCCAGTGCGTGGCCACCATTCCCTCCACCTTATATGATGCCTGGCTGTTTGTCTGCCATCTCCACAATTAGGCTGTGAGCTTCTCGTAGGCAGGAACTTTGTTCTAAGCATCTTTATACCCCAACTGCTTCCCTTGGTGCCTGGCACCTACAAACTACTCAATAAATATTTGCTGAGTTGAACTCAGGCACAGGCAAGGTCCTGGAATGGGCCCTCCCTGGGGGGCAGAGGAGATACAAGCTCTTTCCCTAGCATCGCCATGTAATTTGGGGTGGCACTGGAAGAAAGTGAGTCACAGACAAGAGTCTTGAGGCCTCAAAACTAAAAACTGACCTAAAATTGAACAACAACAACAAAAAGATGGACTTAAGTTTCAATGCATTGGATGCTACTTTATAACACTGGCAAAAATGATAGATTAGTGAAAACGGTTCCAGTGGATGCAAATTTTCATACAATTAAGGCTTCTTTAAAGATTCTTCCTGGAAACTGAGTCAACTTTGCAACCTTGGCGTGTGCTTTCAGTTACTTCACAGTGGAACAAACTGTCCCACACCTCCTCTGAGGCAGTCATGCCCGCTGCTCTCCCCACATCCCATTGGGTTCTGTATTTCACAGCGCCTCTGAGGAGGTACTCCCAGACCCTGGACGCTCCAGGGAACAAGCGGGAACAGACAGGCAACCTACAAAACCAGCCTGGAAACAAAGCCATGCCCAACCTCACTGCTCTCCTCACTTTATATGGAACTTACCTCCTGGATCAGGAAATTTTTTTTGCAGCTATCATATTTCCAGCCACTTCTTATCCCAATTTCTGTCATTTTCTCCTGCAGGGAGTGCTTAAAAGCATCAATGTGAGGCATCAGAGCCGAACCAGTGGGCTTCCCCGTCCTACAGAAGAAAGTGACAAAAAAGTTTAAGAGAATGGTGGCTGTGGTGAGGCTGAAACAAACATGAAACTAGCTGGTGTCCTTTTATTCATTTAGGAGAAGGAAGATGAGATCTAACAGTTATCATAGTCCTATAACGTGCCAGGCACTGTGCTGTGCCAGGCCTTTGACATAAAAACCTATGAAGTTTGTGAGATAATGCCCATTTAACAGGTGAGAAAATTGAGGTTCAGAGAGGACTGCTGATGTGTCCAAGGCCACACAGCTAGCAAGAGGCAGAGCCAGGCTTGGAACACTGCTTTAGACTGCAGGACGCACAGTCTTTCCACTGCCAACGTGCGGCCACTTGAAAGGGTAGAACTTGAACTATACCTAAAAGTTGGGTAAGATCTGAGGAAGTGGAAAGAAGGGATTACTCCCCATGGGACAACATGGTAAGCACAGTGGTTTCAGAATAGCTCAGAAATAGGAAGTGAGAGGTTGCAGAGGAGAGAGCACAAGCTTTAAATCCTCGCTCTCTGCTCATGAGCTGGGTGCCATTGGGAAAGATGCACAATTTTCTGAATCTCAGTTTGTTCAGATGTAAAAAGACAGAAGCTACTCCTTAGAGTTGCTGGGAACATCCGATGAGCTAATGCATGCCAAGTGCTTAGCACTGATGCCCGGGACAGGTAGCTGCTCTCTCTTTGCCACCTGCTGGGTGGGCTACAGCGGAAGGCTGCAACCAGGCAGTGGTGCAGGCAGAGGTTGGAAAGGCAAGCTGGAGGCAGGTGGAATGTCTTGAATGCATTCTAAGGAATTTGAAGTTTAGCCCACAGAATTGTAAACAGGGCGGGGGTGCAATTGGTGGAATGACACAATCCAAGACGTGCTTAAAGAAAGGTGGGGCAGGGACGGGGGCTCTGAGTAAGACGCAAGCAAAGAGACGCAAGCTGGAGAATGGTTCGAGCAGCCACCAATGGGCAACCACATGAGATGCCAGTGGGAACGACAGAGACTAGGGATGGGCAGCTGTACTTGGGGACTGGGAGATTCTGTTTCTGTCGATGGAGTAAAGAACTAGAGGTCAAGGAAGGAGGGAAGGAGGAAGCACCAAGGAGGTATGGTCCCCAAACCCACACCATGTATGTGAGCAGGCAGAGTGTGTGAGAAAAAGACACAGCATCTTCAGTGCATTCAGGGAAAGCTCCGAGGCTGGGTGTGGTGGCTCACGCCAGTAATCCCAGCACTTTGGGAGGACGATGGGGGAGGATCACTTAAGGTCAAGATTTCAAGACCAAACTGGTCAACACAGAGAGACTCTGTCTCTACAAAAAATATTTTTTAAAAGTTAGCCAGGCATGGTGGCATATGCCTGTGGTCTCAGCTACTTGGGAGGCTGAGATGGGAGGATTGCCTGAGTCCAGGAATCTGAGGCTGCAGTGAGCTAGGATTGTGCCATTGCACTCCAGCCTGGGCAACAGAGCAAGACCCTGTCTCATTTTTTAAAAAAAAGGAAGAAAGAAAGTTCTGAAGGCCATGTGTTTGCTTAATTCCACTCTCTCCAATCAAAATACCCTGTCCTGGGCTCAGATTCCTAAGAAAATGTATCCCTTGCTGCATGTATGAGATATTTGAAAAATAATGGGAACCATAATATTAGTTTGAAAGCAGCATCTTAATCTGTGTCCAGGTCATCATGGGAAATTTTTAAGTAAACCAAACCAAGAAGGCGTTTGTGTTTTGCCGAAGACTAAGCTTTCCTTCTCCAGTTACAAGCTACTCTTTACACTTACAGATCCAAAGTCTGAATTCTTAAAGACTGGCTCAACGTTCTTCTGATGTTTGTTCCCGAAGGTGCAAGATGAAAGATCCTTTACCTAAAAATGCTTCCAAAAACAGGGTCGATCTGGTCATAGATGGGCTGAGTGAGGGCTTCGTTTAGATCAATTCTTGCCAGAGTCCTGGAGGCATAGATGCCATTTTTCAGGCAAACAGCTTTCAGGGTCTGATGAAAACCTTGGTTTCCTTTACTCCTCTAGATAATCAACAGTAAATCAGCAGAGTTAGCAGGCATTAACTGGAAGGTCACTGGATTAGAATTGCATTGCCCTGGCCAAAGATCATTACCAAGAATCACAGGAAAGGGTTGAGACAACATGCTCCTTAAACATATGATTAAACTAAATGAGGGAGGACAGTGGTCACGCCTCTAGGTCGTCTGCGTGCCCCTGCCATGGGCTTCCTAAGGTCCCTGTGCTCACTTTGATCACAACCATTCTCAAGCGATTCTGTTTGTGTTAGTTTACTCATTTGTCCAGCTCCTGTGCTTGGCCATCAGCTCACTGAGATCAGGCACAGTGTCTCATCCATCTTTACGTCCTCAACTTCTGGCAATAACATAAGTAGTGTTTGAGAAATATTTGCTAAATGAGCAATTATCGAATGAATAAATAAACGAATGAATGCCAATGTGCTATGACCCGACAATAAGTGCATGTCTTGAATTTTCTAAGGAGAGTCCAGATTTCATAAACTTTTTGTTAAACTTTTAATGAAATACAATTTGATTTGTATGTCTTGGCGATATTTTTTTCCCAGGGAAATAAACACACAAATGAGAGGAAAGAAAAATATAAAGCTAGACCTATGACAGACATTAATCAATTTCAGCCAGATGGTAATCATTAGTAAAGAGAGTAAAAATGTGTTTGCTAAAATTTCAGTAGAGAGCTCTGTGATTTTTAATCAATGATATATGTTTTAAGGGAATGACCACATAGCATTGTATAATTGATATAATTCTTTTTTTTTTCTCTGCTCTTTTTACTTAGTATTACAATATGAGAATATCCCCAAATCATTGTAAATATGTTCCAGGCTAGGTGCAGTGGCTCACACCGGTAATCTCAGCAATTCGGGAGGCCAAGGCAGGTGGATCATCTGAGGTTAGGAGTTCAAGATCATCCTGGCCAACATGGTGAAACTCCGCCTCTACTAAAAATACAAAAATTAGCCGGGCAAGGTGGCGCATGCCTGTAATCCCAGCTACTCAGGAGGCTGCGGCAGGAGAATCGCTTGAACCTGGGAGACAGAGGTTGCAGTGAGCCAAGATCGCGCCACTGCACTCCAGTCTGGGCAACAAGAGCGAAATTCCATCTCAAAAAAAAAAAGGTTCCAAAAATGGCACTAATAACCATTTAATATAGTATTGTATGGATGAAAAATAATTCATTTTACCTCTCTCTTGTTCTTAGACATTACGGTTATTTTCCTATGTTAAATAATGATATGATATTAGTATATAAATGTCTTCCCAAATTTTTGATCTCAAAGAAACATTGTTTATCTGATAAGAGCACCTTGGGAATGTTTGTAGTCACAGAGGAAGAAGTCATTAAAAGGGTGATGAGAGGGGACAGTTGGGGGGGGTAAAGTCCTGGAGACGCCCGAAAATGTCTGCAGTGGCTTCTTCCGCTCACAGCAAACTCTCAACAGGGTGGTCTCTGCCTCATGCCTTCGTCCTCTCAGCTCCCACTCACTCATTCACTTTCTGTGATCTGCGTTCTTCAACTATGGGATAGAAACAGCTCTATCCAAGGTAACTTCGTTATCTATTGCTATGAAACAAATTACCCCGGACATAGCGGTGCAGTGGCTTAAAAACAAACACAAACACCTGTCATCTCTTGGGGATTCTGTGGGTCAGGACTGGGATGGCTGGGCTGGCCACTCTGGCTCAGGATTCTCCTGAGGTTTGGTCAGGTGTGGCTGGGGGCATAGTCATCTGGGTGAGGCTGGCGGATCTGCTTCCAAAGATACCCGGCTGCATGCTGGTGCTGGCTCCTGGCCTCAGGTGGGGGCCTTAGTTGCTCTCCATGAGACCTCTGCACACAGTGGCTCAATTTCAGTACACAAAGGCGTCGCCCTGAGAAAGTGACCCAAGAGCCACCATGGAAGCTTCCATGGCCCTTGATGGCCTAGCCTCAGAAGCCACACACCATCACCTCTGCAGCATTCTCCTGCTCAGAAATCAGCCCTGATTCAATGTGGGGGAGACTCCATGAGGGCATAAATACCCAGAGATGAGGACCCTTGGGGCCACTGGTGAGGACCCTTGGTGGATGCCTAGCACAGTCACCAGTGAAACCCTCAGTGGCCCAATCCAATGGCCCTGGTTGGTTGGTTTGTTTGTTTTTACCTCTCAGGAGCATGTGATGTTCTTCTTAACAAACTTTTTTTTTTCTCTTTTAAGAGACAGGGCCTCTCTCTGTTACCCAGGCTAGAGTGCAGTGGCACGACCATAGCTCACACCTGGGCTCAGGTGATCCTCCTTCCTCAGCTCAAGCTGGGACTACAGAGGCATGCCACCATGCCCAACTTTTTTTCTTTTTCCTTTTTGAGATACGTTCTTGCTATGTTGCCTGGGTGGTCTTGAACTCCTGGCCTCAAGCAGTCCTTCTGTCTCAGCCTCCCAAAGTGCTGGGATGACAGGCAGGCATAAGCCATTGCACTCAGCCTTAACAAACTTTATTACTTCAGTTTTCTGATTGGAAAATAAGAAATTAAGCATTACACTAAAAATAAGCATAAAAATAAGAAAATACGCATTACACGACTTCCTTCTGCTACCTCTCAGGCTTTTCCGTCTCTGCCCCTCCCCTGCCCCTCTTTATTCTTTTGCTTCCTTAATGTGGCCTTTGTATGAGGCAATGTCCTATCACTGTCCTTCCCTCCACTCCTCCTCAATCCCATTCACTGGTATACGTGCATCAACTCCATGCAAGTGACAGCTACATCCTCCAGCCCCACCTCTCTCCAGGCTTCAGTTCCACATTTCCATCATTGCATTAGACATTCCACCTCCATGAAACACTAAATACATGATCTTCAGTAGTGATCATATTGCTTCCCCAACCAACGGATAAGTTCCTCCCTACCATATCTCCTTAGATCTTCTTTAAATTGAGGTGATTTGCTTTCTCTTGGGTGCAAATCTTCCCCAAAATGTTGCCACCTTGCTTTCCCATACACCCCCATGTCTGAACTATTGACAATCCTGATTGAGATGTCCTTCAGATTTGCTCTCCCAGTCACCTCTTCCTTCCTATTCCGTCTGCCACAACCTTTGTTGAGACTTTACTGTGTCTCATCTCAACGAAGCAGCTACTGTAAGGGAAATGGCTGCACTTTAGTCAGGAGCAGGCCGAGGCAGTCTTCTGGCACAGCATGACTCAGCTAGTCAGGAGTAGGCCGAGGCAGTCTTCTGGCACAGCACGACTCAGCAGGTTTGGAGTACAGGTGCACAGCCCTGTACATGATGTAACCACGCCACATGAGGCGCATTAGATGATCACCCATATGAGCTCATGCTTGGCTCAGAATCACTATTGTCTATAAAAGATATAATTACCCTGCTAATGCTGTACATGCAACTTGCTCATGCCCAGAGAAAGCGTAAAGCCATGTCAAAACTGTCTATGATTCCTCAGTTTTCCAGCTATCCGCCACTTGCCCACTGACTCCCCTCAGACTTCAGTTAGACCCTGACACTTCCTAACCAGGCTTTCTGCCTCCAGCTTTTCCCCAAGCATTACGCTTCCCAAAGCATTAGTTCTGATGAAGCTATTCTTCTGCTCAAAACTTCACTATGTTCCAACTCTTCAACCTGGTCTAAAGTCTGCAGCAAACTGACTGTCAGCCTAATCCCCCAAAACCCTGCCCTGTGTACTTACGCTGCAGTTAGGTGGTACCTTCTGGCTCCCACATGAGCTCCGGCCTTCCTCCCCTGAAATGCCTTCCCTGTCCCTCCACTCCTCTGCCCAAAGACACACCACCATCCTCCAGGGCCAGGTTCCAACAACCTCCTCTCTAGAAGGTTTATTGAACTGTCCTCTAACCTGGCCTGCGATTTCTTTTCCAATATCCACCCCTCCTTCTCCAGTGTCACCTCCCTAGTCCTTCTGTTATGGAGAAAATGAACTCTATTCCTGCCCCCAAGATGGGACACACACACAGGCCTGAGCTATTCAGCACAAGACATTCCCTTTTTTCAGGGGTCATTTTATAAATAGGTATGTGACCCATTTAGAGCCAAAGAAACACAGTAAGAGCTTTGCTGAGGTTTCTCAAAAAGGTTCTCCACTCTTCTGAAAGTGGGCCCGGAAACGGCCATTCCCTTGTTCCTCTAGACCAGCGATGCTCAACCAGGACTGATTTTGTCACAGCTGAAGAATGGGGGCTGTTACCAGCACCTAGGGGGTAGAGTCCAGGGACGAAACAACCTGCAATTCACAGGACAGCCCCTCACAACAAAGCATGATCCGGTCCCAGCTGTCAATCATACTGAGGTTAACAAACCCTGCTCCAGAGCTCATGGTGTTCAGATGTGGGTGCAAGAACAGCTGCAGCCATTTTGCCATCATGAGAGAAGCAGCCTGAGAATGGGGCCCACAGAGGCACTGGATTCAGCTCATCCCCCAGGCCCTCTCTTCCCGTGGCTCTTGGGCACGTGGGCCAATACATTTCCTCATGGCTAAGAATGGTTTCAGTTAGGGACTCTGATTTGCAGCCAAAAGATTCCAGACTGCCACAGCCCCCACCAGAATGCTCTCCCTTCTCTAAACATTTGGAGAACTTTCTGACTGTCCTGTGGTCCTTAGCAGCATGCTCCTTTTTATTATAGTTCCCCAAATGCTCTCTTAACTATTTTAAGCAGGGATGTATCCTTCTATCCCTGAAACCTAATAAGAAAAACAGTTGACTTGTTAGACACTCTCTTTACGCTGAGTGCGTTGGTCAACCCAGCATTATCCCGCTATGGTCATTCTTTCAAGTTATCTTTACAGCAACCCTATAACATAGGTACCATGGTCCTCAACTTACATAGAGTAACCTGAGGCACAGAGAGGTTGAGTAACTTGTCCCCGGTCACACACCTGGCAGATGGGGAAACTGAGGTACGAACCAGGGCCCATGTGGGATACGAAGCCTCTTGGCAACCGTGCCTTGTATTCTAAAGTCCTTGTTACTTGCAGAAATGAATGAATGAATGAATGAATGCAGCAAAGTGTACTTTTACGGGGATTTATGGATGTTAAACTACATAACTGGTTGGCAACTACAAGTTGCTGCAATCGTTTGCAGAGTAGTTTAGGAGACGCAACAGGCGAGTGCAGCAAGGGTTGGGTGTCCAATTATGAAGTTAGGCAGGCCTGGGTTAGATGTGAAGTCCATGCATGACTGTGGAGAAGGTATTTAGTCTCTCTAAGGCTGTAAAATTAAAATAATAATAAGGGCATCTGCCTCACAGAATGGTTGTGAGGATCAGATAAGGTAACTTGCAGTATCTGGTTCCACAGTCAGCATTTTGCTCACATTTGCTGACTGAGTGCACGCACGCGTACATATTATACGCACGGATACTTGGCTATCCATGCCCTACTGCATGGAAGACACTCCAGCTGTCATCCTCCTGTGTCCACACACTGACACTCTCCCCAGTGACCCCAGAATCACCCCAATTTATCTCCTCCTTTACTCTTGGTTCTTTCAGCATTTATTCTTTGTCTTGTGCTAGAGGAATCTCCTCCTTTCCTTTCATCCAAATTGCAGCACATGCACCTACTTATCTAGATTTTTTTTTTTTTTTTTTT